AATCAGTCCGGGAAGGTGTACTGTTGAGGGTTAAAGATGGCAAAATAACAACAATGAAAACATACATTGCCATGGCGACGGTGGTTATTGTTAGGCTTATTGTTTGCATGACACTGCCATCATTTCCTGATTTTTGGGAAGCCTCCTTGTACATGTAGTCTGTCATGAGTTTGTTAAAATAACATTTGATGTGCAAGGAAATCTTACTTATACGGGAGGGTGATATTAGATTTACAGGTAATATAACAAGGTAAATACTTTCCTATCATTATTGTGAAAAATATATGTAATCACGGTGACATCACCACCATTTTTTCTATTTTTTTATATATGCCATTGAAAAATTGTATGAAGTTTTTTGGGGGGCATTTTTCGACAAAAATGGATTTTTGGATCCTGAGCCCTGGTATTACAACAAAATGATTTAAAATGCGAGCGATTATAATGTATCGCCCGAAATAAGTGCCTGTTTTTGCAATTTTGTCCTCAATTACATATGATTAATTTATTTGAGAATCTTTCAGTTTTGCACTGGGATAAGTTTGGAATAGTCCACTTTTGCGTGGGATCGAGATGGACTGAAATATGCTGTATTTCCTCCCAAGCAAATGTCTGTCTTTCTAGTTGTACATTCAATGCCTGTCAAAAAATGTACAATTCCTAGAATTCTTCCAAACTGTACAGAATACCGTACTATTGGGGTCGCCCATGAGGCGTCGCCAAAAACGCATTTCTGGAGTGATATTTGACATAGAGATGGATAGTGAACCCTCGGTCATGATTTTTTTTTGTTGTATCCTAAACAGTTTGTACATGCTTTTTACATACCTATCACCAAAAATGTATATTTCCCTCCACTATGTTATAATATCATAGAGATATGATATCGAAAACCTTACGATATCATAGAGATATGTGCTAATGGTCATCTGCATGATATTACGAATGCAGGCCTTAGTGGAGCAGACTTGTTTTGGCTGGATCTGATTTTAACTCCCTTTTAGGAATGAAATATTTTAAACCGTTGCTGGCAATTGATAAACTTTCTTGTACTGTTGTAGTTATCTAAGCAGCGCTGTGCGTTCTTTTTCTTGTTTTGCTTTAGAAACTGCCTGCTGGAATCCCTCTGTACTTCACAGTTACCGGTAAAAATGCGAGAGGTCTCTCTTCAAGTGTGTCGTGTCAGATAGACACGTATGACATCACGCCTCCTGTGGCCCGCATCACGCCAGCCTTCTACTCAACAAGCAATCCTCAGTACTTACGGGCATCTGCTATAATACAAGATGACTCACCGATCGACATCGTCAGGGTAAGAAAAACTGAATAACTCTGAATTTTAAAATTACTGCCTCGTGTTATCAAAAATTGTATTTTTCATAAATTCTGCGAAAAACTAAATGCTTGTGTGTTTATAGCTATAGCTCGCGGTTAGTTTTTGTGGTCCAGGTGATTCACGTTGTGAATTATGATTGTGACACTACCCATTTTTCTCGTAGCATTGCTATTGACGCGGTACATGTATCTAAAATTCTTAGAATTTGTTGTGATTATCGTGCGCTTTATACTTTTAGGGGGTTTAGAATCTCAATCACAGAATCGGGGTTGTTACTATAGTGGTTGTGCAAGTGCAAGTCCAGGACACACGATACGAATAATAAAAAAATACAACGATATGTGCATGTCAAAAACATATCATTGTGCATAATCTGTGCCAGATTGTAAGGGCTGACGGTCAGGGCTCCACAATTCTCTTGCACAATCTTAGTGTTTGTAGGGATGAAGCAGTTTTTTACACCTGGTGAGAGTGATTTCCCCCGTTTTTATTTAGGGTATAACAAAATCAAAAAGGAGTGAAAACTAGACAAGAGAGACAGGAGGTTTTTTAACTATTTCATTTTTTTCCCTCTTTGCATTTATGCACCTCTCTAAATGTTCCCCAAGCATTTTACAATCTCCAGTCATTCTGCACTCATTACAGGGTGGTGTTGGGTATGGCGGTGACGTCTACGGCGATCAGGTAGTTTCCTGGTATGACGTGACACTAGATGACACAGGCCCACTGGTAACCACTACAAACCCACTAGAAAATTTTGTAGAAGGTAAAACTGGACGACTCAACTCAAAACCACACAAAACAGACCGCTTCGTCATTCCAGAGGACTGCGCAAGATTGTGTCTGACATTTCCTCCGACAAAGTGTCTTAGTTTCAACTACGACTACGGATCCACTGGAACATGTGAAATATTGGAAGAACTTGAAGTTCCGGGAGTCCAACTGCATCAGGTAACTGTGTATGTTCTGAATTGGTTGTATTAATAAGGAGCGGTTGAATAAAGCGATATATGATCAGATATATTGAATCAAATTAGGTAATTATTTGGTCAATCTTCTGTCACCTCCTCCCCCTGGACAATATAGTCCATATTTACTTCACACCTCGTGACTTTAGATAGCAGAATATAGCATTGTACTACAGAGTCAACGAATAGACGGCAGAAAGACCTGAAGTGTTAAAAACTTCAATGTATATCCGTTTACATTGTGGATAGCACCCCGCCCAATCAATCCATTCGAGACTCAGACTACTATTCCAAACATCGCAATCGCTTCGTGGTTTCAACCAAAAACAACAACGTCTGCCAAATCAAACCCGCTAATTATATTATGGAGGCTGTCATTTTTAAAAAGTGAACCGGTTTTAAATCGAAAACTATCGCTGCCAGAAAATGAGACGATCTCCACATTGGACCATAGTGATAGCATGCAGGGCATTAGTTATCGTCTGCCCGCCCTCGCGGATTGTTTTACTTCAGAGCAGCCAAAATTTTCAGTCTTAAAATGGTAACCCCCTTTCTACATGGAAGTGGTAGGTTCGGTGAAGTTTAACGCTTCTATGATTCGTCCCTGGATAGATGTCAGATTATGAGATACCACGATGAAACAGTATAAGTGACACGGATTTTATTCTCTGTTAACACAGAACGGTCACTTTCATCACTTTGAACGACGAGGGATCGGTAAAATGTTGCAGTTCGATTTCGACAGCCTGTCACTGACACATGACAACATCTACTTCATCAATGTATATCTGCAAAACTCCCTAGGTATCCACAATTTACTATTTCTTTATAATACTAGTAACTGTTCTACATCAGTAGTAATTCTACAACATAAGTGTAGACTGTTTGTGTGAATGAATGATTTGCTTTTCGAATGTGATGTCAGGTCAAACATATATGTTTCTTGTTATATACGGTATTACGAATACGGCGATAACATTGCCGTTTCAGGCTATACGAGCATTCTTTCATCAAAGGCAGTCATGGCAGACCACACTCCCCCTTCACCTGGTGCGATCAGTAACAAGAGATGGGACCAGGTTTATGGAGAAGACTGTAAAGACTTCATACCAGACGAATGGGAACACAGATGTATTCAGCAGACAACTCTTCCAAACCACAGGTATTATATGTATTGCCTTTAATCATTTCTACAACGTCAAATGTATATATACTGTAGTTGTAAAAGCGGTCGCAAGACCCATTGATATTTGCGTTGTTAATATCATTTTCATGGTATGATTGAGCACAAAATTCTGTAACATTACTTATTACATTGTATACTACATAACATGAGTAATGATTCAACACAGGGCCATAATAGACGGGGAAGGCTCGCGAACAGTTTTCAATGGCCACCAGCCACTGGAAGATATGCTTTACACACGGGCGAACACCTACGTATCAGGTATGTATGCTTTTATTTTGGGAGACGTAACGTTACGAAATACATAAACATGTCAGATTCGGGAACATTTGGAAACATCCACACACCCACACACACTATTGTAATGTACATAACACACAAAATGATTGACAGAATAAATAGAGACAAACAGAAAAAAAGCTATATCTTGCAAAATGCTTAGCGTGAGCCTATGAGACTCATGCTAAACATCTTGCAAGATATATAGTTAGCTTCAGTAAGCATATACATTTTTCAACTTTCGGCTATCACTTTGAGATTTTGTGATACATTTCTGATAATCCAGCAAACTGGGATGGTTTCCATGACAACGAGACTGGTATATTTGGCTACACGTGGACTGTTGGCACCACACCTTGTCAGGAAGACATACATCCCCACAAGGATCCACACTCCCACCTGTTTGACGAGTCTGAGTGGACACATACAGGAATAGCAGATGGACTTGATCTTCCAGGTGAACTTGAAGTTAACGTATCATGCATGCATTACATTATTCACCTTGACGATATGATGGATTTTATTGTGGTTATACGACCACCCTTTGCTTTAGGTGACATGATAACTAAATGAACATGTAAGAACATGTAAGAGTCAGAATCTACAACAAATTTGTTCTCTTTGATTCAATATGTGATGTTTGCGTAACTTGATAGTGACAATTTCCAGACAAAGTAATCATTGATTCTAGATTCTGTTCACACTGAGAAGTGACTAAGAACCGCTTTAAATGCAGCCAAAACCTGACTGTACAAAAAAAAATGCGTACGCTCTGTATGTAATAATAATAAGAGAGAGACAAATAGGCCTGCCATCAAGCAGAAATGTGCGCCAGCCCCAAATTTAGGCTTATGTCAATATCAATAAATACGTCAAGTTAGTTAATAGTCAAACATCGATCTGGCTAACACGCAACCTCCAGTATGCGCTGGACTCCGAGCGGACGGGTGTTTTAATACTGGGTTTTTAAGAATTGTCACGTGTTCTTTTGCTGGCCATCCTACAACCAGCCGCCATAGTTCGAGAAACCAGCGTAGCAACATGGCGGTTGGACCCAAGTCGCGGTACTTGTTCCAAATGGCGTGTATTCTTGAAGGCTACAATAAAACCGGCCGTCATTTTATGTGTATGTCGCTATTCAGTAGTTCCGTAGTTACGTACAATGCGTATGACATTATATTACAGATGGAATTTATCACGTTACTCTTCGAGCCATAAACGATGTGGAGTTTGGAGGTCCCATGGCGACCACAGTCTGCCACAGCACCCCGTACACCATAGACAACACGCAGCCGTTTGTCCATAGCGTCACCGATGTCAACTATGATGACGATACACAACAGATCAGTGCGGAATACAATGTCAGGTATATTCGTTTTTCTTGCAGTTTCTTTTGCCTTTGTACATGTATTGCTTGACATACAGCAATCTGGTACAGTCGCAGCGCTGCCTTTATTAAACTCTTAGGTATATTTTTCAGTGGACACGTAACCCATTACGGTTGTAGTTGCGATCGGAAGTCTTGTTATTGTAGTTTCAAACGGAGACGATACCAGAAGGATCAGCAAACTCCTAAGTTATAATCTGGATTATTGAAGCCATGTGAGGCGTATAAGGAGTAAAACAAACTTAAGAAATATAATCTAAGCTACCTTAGGTGCAATCTGTGGGCCAGATGATAAGAAAATTCACCAGTTTCTCATTTCCGGAATGCTTAGCGAAAACAGGGGGCTATTTGGGAAAGATGGGGACGTAAGTTGATGAAAACTGTTGATTTGTTCATACCTCAGATTTGTGAGAAGAATACTTTTTCATCACCTTGGATTGATGGTGATGTCATACATGCTCGTAACAAAAAAATGACAACATGGCGACTTGCCAAAAGGACCAATAAACCATTTCATTGGGCAAAGTTTAGGAAACAAAGAAATGATTTCCAAAAACTGCTGAAAACTAAGTACAGGACTTTCTTGGGTAGCCTTGGAACCAAAGTCCACAGGAACCCGAAAAAGTTTTGGTCTTTCTTTAAATCTTAAACTGGCTCTAGCCATGTTCCTAGTGTTATGAATTTTGGTACTGAAGAGGCCAAAACGCCCATGGAAAAGGCGGATATGTTTAATAAATATTTCACTCAGTTTTTACTCTGCCGACTATTGAACATCAACTTCCTGATATACCTGTATTTCAACACCCAAATCTGGGGTACTTTGTATTTACAAATAAAGAGATATTAGATGTACTTAATAATCTTGACTGTGCTAAGGCATATGGTCCCGACGGAATATCCCCTGTTATCCTGCGTCGGTGTGCACAGGAAATAGCACCTCAGCTAACGACACTGTTTAACAAAAGTCTACGTCTAGGCTGGGTGCCGGCACAGTGTCCAGTTTTCAAAAAAGGCCTTAAGGAATCTGTTGAAAACTACCGTCCTATCTCTCTGTTAAGTATAATTAGTAAAGTAATGGAAAGATGTTTGTTTAACCGCATCTTCCCTTATCTTAAAGACCAAATTCATCCTCTTCAACATGGGTTCATTAAGGGCAGGTCGACAGCAACATTGCTACTTCAAATTTATCACAAAATCGGTTCCATTCTGGATAACGGCGGCCAAGTTTATGTTGTATTTCTTGATTTCTCTAAGGCTTTCGACTGCGTCTCCCATAACCTTATGGTCCACAAGTTGAAAATGTATGGTGTGCACTCAAACTTGCTTGCTTGGTCCGATAGTTATTTGTCTGGTCGCAGACAACGAGTCATTGTAGAGAATGAACATTCTGAATGGCTACCAGTTCGCTCAGGATTCCCCCAAGGTTTAATACTTGGGCCACTCCTATTTCTGTTATTCATTAACGATCTACCCTCTGTTTTTAGTACCACAGTGGCATTATATGCAGATGATTCGAAATGTTTTTTTTAATATCTCAACTGTTATTGACTGTATTTCTCTTCAAAACGACATCGAGAACATGTACAATTTTCGCAAAATATGGATGATGAAGTTCAACGCTGACAAATGCAAAATACTTACCATTGGTAGGGGGAAAATCAAGTTCGCTTTCAATACAAAATGGAAGACACGTTTTAGAGGTTGTCTCCGAATCTGATGACCTTGGAGTCTCTGCAACCGGCCAATTAACATGAGAATTTCATATCCAAAACATCATCTCTGAAGCCAACTCTACACTAGGTTTTATAAAACGATCATTAGGTTACCATGCTCCTGTGTCTGTTTAAAAAGCTCTTTACATGTCCCTTGTTCAAAGTAAGCTAGAGAATTGTTCCACGGTATGGTCTCCGCATACACAAATATAATAATAAATACTATTAATATTATAAATTAATTAATAATAAATAATATTTCGCGAAATATTAGATTTAGTTTTAATTTTCAACTCAGGTCAATTAAGGCCTGTGATTCCAAGGTGGTGGCGGTATAATACGTATACGCTTGTAACTTTTGTTTGGTTAGCCGTATTTTAAAGAAATTTCACACAGTACTATCACTACTTATGTTTAATAAAATGATTGTGCATCTCTGTTGGTATGCTGTATTTTTGGGTTAAAAACCCACATTTTTGTTAATAAAATATATCTTTATTTTAAGAGCCCTGTCCTCGGTGGAGTTTTCATTCTGGACCTTCATATTTCACCGTATTACAGCCAAACTGATATAGATTCAATTTATCCGTCGCTATTTTGCAGTCTATGAAGGCATCATAATTTATTTGGGTCAAAAATAGCAAAAAATGATAATTTTTTCCTATTTTTTGGCCAAAAAACGCTGTAGAGAAAATTCCTGTATGATTAAACAAAATAGCGATGGATAATTTTCTTTAACAAGCGATTAGATATTAAAAGTAACTGATATTCTTGACAAATCTGCTGTCATGACAGAGGACGAAGCCCCTACATGTGACTACACGCAGTACTTTAGAACCGCCGACAGCGCCCTCCGCCGGCTTCCGCGAAATCGAATACCCGATTACGTCAGGGATCTCCCCTGCAAGCGCCATTGACCAATCAGGGTGCGTTACCCCTAGTTACAAAATGGCGGAGCCGGCAAGACCTTTTCGGAAAATTTCGTATTTGGCTCCTTTTCAATCTTTTTCCTGTAGTATTTCATTCAGACAATCATTAATAACAACATATTTAGATAGTTCATGGTTTGCTTAGGTGTATTCATGTAAAAAAGACAGAGAAATAAAGTTTTTGTAGCAAAATATTGCATTTATTCACTCAATTGGACGAGAGGGGTTTCCCGCGCGGTTTGATTAGTTACGTCACCTGCAGCCATGTTTCGTTCAGTTTATACGTGTGGATTTGGTCGGGTTGTTTTAAATCAAGTTTTCTGTGATAAGAGTCTTAAATCGTGCATAGATAAACATTCCGCTTTTGTTTCATTACTTGGAGAGAATTTTGAATTTGCTGACAACGCCAAATTTCGCCAGACCGGCCACCACAAGAGGATTTTCGGTTCGCTGAGTGGTACCCAAAGGTACAAGTACATTGAACACTTTTCTTTGTCTTCCTTTAAAGCGCTGCCAGAGCAAGAAAGGGCTTTGCATCGTTTTAAGAATTGCACAGAGTGTGTGAAATCTAAGCACAAACCGTTCAGTGCTTTCTGGCCAAATTCAAATGTTAACAACACTGGTGTAAACAAAGCTAGGTTGAGTGCTACGGACTCTGCTGGGCAGCTGTACAAATCTATCAACGATAAGTTCGAAGCCACACACAATATCTCGTTTGGCAAAGCCCTGACGAAAGTTCCAGAGGCGAATGTTCAAGTGAAAAAAACAAGAGCCGAGAAACAGAAGGAAAAGAGAGATACATTAAGAAGATGCGTACGAAGTACAAAAGAGAAGTGGGCAAAAACAGATGTGGCAAAACTCTTAAGTACAAGAGAGAGCTACAGCAAACGACAACAACGAAGGATGGCCCAATACTATGAAACTCGAGAGGAGGCACAAACGAGGGCAAAAGCAAGAAAAGCGAAAGAGAAGGCAGGTTTGAAAAAGCCCAAGCAACACTCTCCTAATTGGAGAAACCTTGAGTTTGACAGAGAGGGGCTGCTGACACATGTCAAATCCTTGGCAAGTGGAAGTAAGGTAACTGTTACATGTAACGTTAGAAGTCATTGCAGCTCCTAGCCTGTTCCATAAAGAAGGTGTTTGCAGTTTGATAATAAAGTTGTTTCCTATTTCCTGGTTTGAAAGTGTTGTCTTATTCTTTTTTCAATCAAACAGTGTGACTGTTGCAATGTTCAAATGAACAGTTCATTTTACTTTTAGCTGTAGGTGTTTATAGACATGTGTTATTAATGGAACCATTTATCACAAACAGCATTACATATATCTGTCTATTTAAAGGAGCCAGTCTTTAAAAAATAAAGGCTCAGCACCTTTACATTCATCACACACAACACTCACCACAAGAGAAGGACTACTTCACTGGAAACACAATTACATAACAGCATTGCTATGCCAGTTAACAGTTGAAAAAATCATTCCACATAAAGGATACTAGTATATGTATAGAGAGTAGGGTTTAGAAGCTCTAAGAACATGAAGAAGAATATTGTATACAAAATATCTATGTGAACATAGTATGTATCTACTCTCTTTTTTATCCCCTATGCATTTCACACAGCTGTCAATAGTACTGTATATGGAAAATAAGACATACATGTTACATATATTGCCTCTTGGTCTTTACAATATTTCCAAAAAACACATTAATGAATAATATGCAATATCTGTCAGGCCCAAAATACAATTGACGCATAATTACATACCAGTTAAAAGAATGACCTGTAATATCATAAAGTAATGACTAAAGGTACATTTTCAATCATAAATCAGGATTTATCTGGTAGCACAGGGACTTGTCAGTCTTAGGCCCTGCATATTTGAAGTGGCTGTCATTCCAGAGAGGCCGGGAACAGTGATAAGTGGTGTATCAGCTTGCATCTATAACAAAGGAGTGATTTACAGATGTCAACATGGTATACTAGTATAATCATTACAGCAATCAAACAGTACAGCAGTGATAAAGTATATCCAACTCCGATGTCTTTTTGCATCCTCATTTTACATCGTAACTCCTGCATTATAGAAGTCAGTAATTGAACTTTGAAGAGGGATGGACATAAATAGAATCAAACACAATAATTGTGAAAGAGTACTTTATACTTCCATACATACATGTATTAGAAACTACTTTTAAACTGCCCAAAACTATATCTAAGGCAAATCGACAATAGAAATGGAAGATGTTGCCTTAAATATACCAGGTATTCAGAAATAAATAGAAGGAATCTAAAATTACAGTGTCCATAAATATAACCTACCCATGTACTGATGGACTCCAGAGATGAATGTAATGGCAGAGGGCAAAAAGAATGTTGTCTAAAACAAATCATATCTGCTCCTCTCAGCATACCACAAATTGATACATACAATAACAGCATATTAAGCATACTAAGTACCTCAGTTGCTAGCAGAGTACAATGGACAATGGAACTGACAGCCTTCTGCTAAAGTAGCACCTGCAAACATAAAGAGTACGAAATCATTAAAAAAAACATATCAAAGTACTCACTTGGGTTCATTATTAATCTGTAAAATACATATACAACTTATGTAATATACTGAAAATTCATCCTGTAAGGATGTCAGAAAAATGGCTCTTCTCTATCTGGCAAGCAGACCAAGCAGAATTAGTTCAAATGTTACATGTATTTTTGTTGAATGCCACAACTTTCACAAACCTAGTTCCATAACCGACACTGGTCACCAGGGGGACAAGGCAGACTTTGCAGAGGTGTAGCCAGGTCTTCCTATCTTGGGCTGCTGTCAGGGGTTGTGTCTATCACTAGAAAAGTGTAGTGGAAAGAAAGAAAGTTGTGTCAGGTAGGAAGTGCCGATAAAAGAAATCAAAGCCATATACACACTCACACACACACACACATACACATACACAACACAGTGTCACACACACACTGTCACACACACACACACACACACACACACACACACACACACACATGTGCTACCCACATACATAACAGTGTCACATGTGCACAGACACACACACACATTATCATACACAGCACACACTGTCAAACACACACAGATGCCACACACATACATAACAGTGCACACATGTGCACACACACACACAACACAGTGTCACACACACAGAGATGCCGCACACATAAGTTTCACATGTGCACACACACAGTGTCACACACACACACAGATGCCACACACATACATAACAGTGTCACATGTGCACATAGACAAACACACAGTGTCACACACACAAACACTTAATAATGTAATTAGTTGTAAGTAATGGCAAGTCGATATGATAACTGCAATGAATATAACTTTAACAAAATTCATCAAAATATAGGGTTCTTGCCTTATGTGTTATATTGTACTATCACATGCAAAGAAAGAGTGGCAGGCAAAGGGATTGAAATAGCACCTACACACTAGTATACTCAGCTGAATTAGGAGCTGTGCAGGTAGTTTGGATGTGTACAAACTCTCAATCTGCATCCCACCACATATACATGTAGCATGTAGTGGCATATATATGTCACAGTAGAGATGGTTTAGTACCAGTGCATTGTGCAGTAAAAAAGATTTTGAGCCCTGCAATGGAAAACTTTCACTATATCTATTACTAGTACATGGGAAGGATCAATATTTGCAAGTACAACGTTTTTTGTAACCTGCCCGGTATCCCCCCGCTTTAGAGTAGACTGGAGATAAGAACCTAGTGGGTGATGAAAAAAAGAATTGACTTTAAAGATATCTAGAGCAGCATACCTCGATCAAATGCTCCCGGGTATCCCTGGCCTCTACAGCAATGGTGGTACCTGCAGACACAGACCAAAGTTAAATCCTAGTACACTCAGTTATTAAGCATATCAAAATCTTGTTTTAATCTTGTCTTTCAATGTCAATCGCGTTTGACCCAATTACCCGCAATGCACTGCTGCAGTGGAGACCATATCCCACAAATCATTGCTGCTGTGGAGCGACTGGGCAATTGCTATATATAAAGCAGTATTGTAATCTGCAAGATGACTATCAAATTGGCCTGGCAGTATCTATTTCTATTTCTATTTCATATTATCTGCCAGCCGAAATTTGCGTAATAGCAAGGTGCCAATAGAAGGCCCGATAAAAACGCGTGGCAAAAGGAACACGTCCAAAATAATAACCCGAGGCCATTGGCCATATACGCAAACATCTGCTTGGAGAGCAAATCATGCCTGGACCAACCCGGGCCAACGTCTCGAAACAGAGCCATACATTGCAAACTGAGTTTGTAAGTAATGATTACTATGATAAATAATGTACACTATCGATGATAATTTTACGTATGGGCGTTTTCAAGTTAACAAAATATTTTAAAGCTTGCTACTCAGGGCGCGGCCCGAGACATGTTTAGGTTCAATTTTAAGTGTATTAAAACCTTACCTTCGTTAGCCGGAAGCTGGAATCCCATGCTCACGGCGGTCACAAGTTCAGGAGTGAGCTGACGATAAGCTGCACTGCTTTGTCGAAGCTCTGTGGTCGCTGCACGATCGACAGCATAATTTGCCTCGCCTCATGCATGGCCAACTCCCGACTCGCGACAAGTAAACTTTTGCACTCGGTACTCCGCGCGGCTTATGCCACATGCGTGGGGGGAGACAATTTCTAAACAATTTTGATTGAAATGTTTAAGATCTAATGAAACCCAAAGTATGAGGCATAATATCAATTACGTACTTGTACTTACACCTGAGATGAAGTAAAGCAATATTTAGTGTGAAAAACGACTGGGTAGCTGTACGGCGCTGGCGCCCCCCGAGTCGCTCCATAGTGGAACAGTCCGAACCGCGTTCGAGTTCGGTCGCTGTCGGCCAGGCCCGACGGCCGAACTCGAACACAAACCATCACAGGCCTTAACTTACCTGAGAAGTGTTTCTCAGGTTTGTACGACATAGATATTGATAATTTCCTAATCTTTCCACATCCCTACTTGAGGGAACATAATCTGGCCAAACTGACTCCAAGAAAATGCCATACAACGACTTTTAAGCACTCTTTTTTCTTAAGAATTGTTAACATATGGAATGCCCTTCCAACAGAAATCAGACGCCTCAGGCTTACTCCAAATCCATCAGTCAAACGTTTTAAACAAGCCGTATCCAAACACTACCTACATTTACTGTCCACCCATTTCGATGTTTACAACATTAGTACATGGTTTAACCCTACCTAGACCGGGCTTTTTTTGACATGGTGGGACCGGGGGGGGGCTCTTTGGTCCCCCCCCTAACCGAACTCG